TCACATGTTTTAGGGAGAATGAAAATAGGCTGGAGTTCCTTCAGCAAACAGCATGCTGTGGAATAAAACATTCTACATGAGAATACTTAAACAAATTGGAGTGCCTGGTGCCACCATGTAAATTGTGAGGTGTCATACAGGCTGGTCTTTAGATTAGAGATTGGACTTAGTCTCTGTAGTCCTATGAGTAGAGCAGGTCGGGGTGGGGCTGGGCAGGGAGGAAGATCATCTTAAAGTGATAGACTTAGGCTCAGTGTGAGGAAGGATTTCTAAGAGTTGGAGCTGCTCAGAGGTGAAATATCAAGAGAGTGCCCTTCAGGAGCAGTGTCTGAAGACAGACCACATGGCCAATAGGGAGAGATAAGAAAGCTGGGTGGCCTTTAGCGCTTTGCTTCCAGTCCTGGGAATCTCACTGAGATATCTAGTGACCACTCAACCCAAAGAACAGACACATGTCTGCCGTGTCTCTCTGGGCTCATCCTGCTTATTGCAAGTGAGGCCCAAAGCTGGGGCTGTTATTCCCTGATGTTTCAGGTCCACATGCAACTTATTCTCAGATCTTTTCTGAACAAAACAGAGAGACTGTTTGCCAGATAGCTGGACCAGAATGAGGGGAAAGAAGATAAGGCCCAACCGAGAAGTCAGAAAAGCTTCACTTTTCATTAGCTCCACATTCCAAAGTGAGAAATCAATGTGCTTAGCTGCAATTTGAAGCAATTAGTTTTTGTTCTCACACATTCTCAAAGAATGACCTAAAGAAGCCCAAATAAATATTTTCAGAAAAGAGAGTAAATTTGTATTACTTAACCCAAGGAATGCAAACAAGTGTAATTAAAGTGAATACCCATAAATAAAGTAAATACATTAGTTAGGAAATGAATTAATTAGTGTTTAATTACTATCAATTACTAAAATCACTACAGAATCACTTGTAGAATGGATTGAATCTCTTGCTCCTATTAATAATTTCCATTGCTAATTGTATGCACTTGTATTTTCTTTTCTTTGGGTGCATCTTAGCAGAGCTAATAGGAGGAAGCAACAGCACAGTGAACAATGACAGGGACATTTTTTTTTTCTTTGTTCAGTAAAAAACAAAAGTGGTTTGAAATATATCTGCCTGGTTGTCAAAAGCCAATGCAGGTAAGGAAGAGACGCAAGAAGGAAGGTGGTCCTCGTGACACAGGGTGACCCTTGCCATTCCCTGCTGAGGGGAAGCAGCTGATGTTTGTGGCAGAGTCGTAAGGTGAGGGGTGTGTGTGTGGGTGTGTGTGTGTGTGTGTGTGTGTGTGTGTAGGGAGGAGAAAGGTGGGGACTGGGAGGCTCAATGCCTGAGCTCACTTCCAGCATGCTCTGTGGAACGCATATGTAGACTGGCAGCCAGGCATCTCTACCCACTGGTCTTGGCAGGCGGGGGAATAGGTTTGATGTTTACCTGGAGAACAGAGTACGTCATTTGCTGCCTTGCAGGTGGAGAGAACACATCTGACATCATGCTCCCTAAGAGGCCACACACTAGCTAGTGCGAGAAACAGATGTATGCAAATGACAGGCTGAGGGTAAGGAGTGCCTTTCCTGGGATCCACTCTGCCTGCTCACCAGCATTCTCATTTTCCTGTTTACACAACATCCCCTTTCCCCTTCCCTGCCCTCTCCTCCTCTCCCTCATGCACACAGACTCTCAAGCCAGACCGCCTAGGTTTGATTCCAAGCTTCCTCACCTGAAAGGCCTTGGGCAAATTACTTAACCTCTGTGAGTCTCGATTTCCTCACCTGTAAAATGGGGAGAATGACAGTACCTACCTCTCATGGTTCTGGTGAGAGCTCAGATCAGTGGGTGACACATCACAATCTCTGCTTTATTCATTTTCTTGGTATTTCCGCCACATATTTCTTGTGGAGTAGTTGAGGGGGTCATATGATGTGGAGATAAACTAGCTGGGAGGATGGGAGGAGTGATTTGGGAGGGAAATGAAGTTGAGGAGGAGAAACTGGTCCTTAAGTGGTTGTTCTGTTGATTAGTTAGGGTTCTCCAGAGAAATGGCACCCATAGGAGGTTTATTATGAGGGATTGGCTCACATGATTATGGAGGTGGAAAAGTCCCATGACCTGTTATCTGCAAACTGGAGGCCCATGAAATCCGGTGGTGTAGTTCAGTTGAAGCCCAAAGGCCAGGAGTGCCACTGTCGGGGGGCAGCATAATATGGGCATCCCAGCCGAAGGAGGAGAGAGCAAACTCACCCTTCTTTTGCTTTTCTGTCCTATTCAGGCCCTTTAAGGAATAGATAATGCTCGCCCACATTGGTGGGGGCAGATCTTCTTTGCTCAGTTTGTTTATTTAAATGCTAATCTCTTCCAGAAACACTGTCACAGGTATACCCAGAGATAATGTTTTTTCACCTATCTTGGCATTCCTTAGCCTAGTCAAGTTAACACATAGGAACCTAAAAAACAAAAAAGTCAGAACCTCAAAAGGAGGGTAAATGGTGATCACTAGGGCTTGGGGTTTGGGGGAAATGGGGAGAAGTAGGTTAAAGGGCAAGTACCTTCAGCTATAAGATGAATAAGTTCTGAGGATCTAATGTATAGCACGTTGACTCTAGTTAATAATACAATACTATTTATTTGAAACTTGGGAAGAGAGTAGCTCCTAAGTGTGTTTTATGTGTGCACACGCACACACACACACACACACGGTGACTATGTGTTGTGATGAAAGTATTGATTAATTTGATTGTGGTAACAATTACACAATGAATATGTATATCAACTCATCATGCTGTACACTTTGAATATATACAAATTTTATGTGTCAAATACACCTCAATAAAGCTGGACATTTAAAAAAAAGAAAGCTAAGGGAGAGACCAGGAGTGAAAAGAGGTCTGCCATTGCTTGACACTGGTCCCGAATTCATTTTATCATTCTGACGCATCCATTCCTGACTTTCTGGGTAACCATCAGCCTGTTAATTATCCCAGCTTAATCCCAGGATTTTCATTTGTAAAAAAGAATAATATAAATATTTGCTTCATGGCATTGCTGTAGGGCCTACCACTGGAAGTTTTTGAGTCACCCACTGTAGTGCGAGGTGCAAAGGTTAGACTGAATAAATAATAACTGGTATAATTGGCACTAAAATTAAAAAGCTGAAACATAACATTAAGCATTGCACTCTGTTGGTGTGAAGATAACAGGGACTCTTGCATAAGGGCAGTGGTAACAGAGCCTGTCTCTGTCCTGTCCCTCCATCCCCACTCACCTCCCCCACACCTTCCTGGGATGCTATTTGTAGGCTCTTCCTTTTCAGAAAGTGTCAGGGCCTAGGGCTCACAGCTCCATGAATCAGATCCTTCCCACAAACTCACCTGCTCTTTACCATCGGGCTGGGCTGTAGTTATTCTAGTCACAGCTGAGCTGTGGTCACTCACCTCTGCTGCCATGGCCTCAGCACTGGTTCAGAATGAGATTATCATCCTGGTGGGCACGTACAATGACTAAGGAGGAATGCCGCCTCTTCAGGTCAACTTACCATTCACCCACGACTGGGAAGTGCAAGGCTGAAGAAGACGCTGGCTGCCTTTGAGAAGCTCAACATTTTGAGCACCCCATTGTCACTGCACAATTCTGCCCTAGACCAAAAATCAGAGTCCCCAACACTGGGAAATATCTTTTAAAAGTCTCTTTGTCCTAGATGGCTGTTATTTCACCTTCGGGAGGCACTCAGCAGTGATTCCGTTGAGGCTGACCTCTTGCCAAGGGAGTGAATGACGCTAATCTCTTGGATGTCTTCTGTGTCCCATGTTATTTTAGTTCTCATTGTAAGCTCATTCATTCATTCTTTCATTCATTCATTCAATGTTCATGAGATCCAGAATGCATAACAGTAGAGAAGACTCATTCCCTGCCTCTAAAGGTACAATTGAGTACGTACTAAAATACAGTGTGATATACACCATGAGCTTTTTAGAAGAGAGTAAAAAGAGGTGAAAGGTCAGGGAGGCTTCTGAGAGAAAGCAACCCTTACGCAGAGGTTTACGTGTCAATTATACCTCAATAAAGCTGGACCAAAAAGAAAGAAAGACAAAGAAAGAAAGAAAGAAAGAAAGAAAGAAAGAAAGAAAGAAAGAAAGAAAGAAAGAAAGAAAGAAAGAAAGAAAGCAAGCAAGCAAGCAAGCTAAGGGAGAGATCAGGAAGAGTGGGTTGAGATCTGCCATTGCTTGACACTGGTCTTGAATTCATTTTATCATTATGATAAATCTATTCCTCACTTTCTGGGTAACTATCCGCCTGTTCATTATCCCAGCTTAATCTCAGGATCCTTGTTTCAGAAACTGGAATAATATCATATTTGCTTCCCAGCATTGATGTGGGACCAGCAGCGGGAGTGTTTTTGAGCCACCTTCTGTAGTGCTAAGGGAAAAGGGGACCATGATAAGGTAAGTGACAATCAGAGACAAGTGAATTACAGCCTAAGCTCCCACAGAGCAGGGAGGACTTTTTCCATTTGAGGTATGAACAAGGGTCTGTGTGACTCTAAGGACATTAACTGTTCAACCACATCAAGCTATCTTTTGTTCCTTCCCGTCTCCCCTTGAAGCAAAATCTTCCTTCCTCTTCTGTTTCTTTCTCCTAATTTTTGCTGCAACCCTAAGCACCTGTAGGAAAGGGTGAGGGGGGCCGACTGCCTGGGTTGGACTCCTGACTCTGCATTTATTTGGTGTGTAACTCCAGATGCATTGCTAAACCTTTCTGAATGTAAAATGGAATACCTGCCTCAGAGCTGTGTGAGGATTAAAAGGAAAGAAAAAAAGGAAAGAAAGATATTGTTTGTAGAGAGCTTAGCATAGCGCCTGGTACATAGTAATTATTCAACAGATCATAGATAATATCATTATTGTGGATGCTAAGCTTCATTTTTTGTCTCAGTTGATTGTTATTAAGCCAGGCTAATGTGTTGCTTGATGAGGCATTGGCCTAAGTTGTATTTGCATTTCAGATGGAGAAACCTGAAGACCAAAATTTATACCACCCCTAAGGAGAGCAGCCATCTTCCTCCCTGTCCTGAGCAGGAATAAGCAAAGACTGAACAAACTCTTGCAGCGGGGCGGGTGGCAGGAGATGTTTCCAAGCTTTACTCAAAGAAAACGGAGATGCCTTTGTACATGTAAGTGATTTGCCACCTGTGCAAAGTCTGCAAGATAGCCCTAGGGGGAGAGTTCCTGAGACACCCGAGCTCGTGTCTGCAACCCTCATCTCCTTTCTGTGCCGACTCAGGAAGAAAATAAGCCCCAGCAGGAAACTCACCCTTTGAAATGTCAGAGTCCACTAAGTAAGGGCGAGGTGCCCTAAAGCATCCAAATGGCATCTTCTGCCCCAAGAACTTATCCAAGCCCTCATCCTGACACTGGGGAGGCTGAGTTACCTCGGTAGGTGCCCCCCACAAGTGGGAGACAAGCAGCGGTCATTGGTTTTCATTTGCTGAAATCAGCAACTTAATCCTAACTTAACCAGAGCCTGAATCTCCCCCTTCCAAGGCAAGGCCTTCCCTGGGAATGATTGAATTTCGCAGGGTGCAATAAAACAAAGGGCTTCTGCTGAATCAGGCGCCAGACTCATAAGCCTGTAAATCTCCTGCTTACTCTTCAAGGCGGGGATGTTATCTCCACCCCAGCCATCCCCGTCATGTCATGGCGCCTGCTGTTTCCACAACCTCTCCTGCTAAGAAGATGACCCTAGGTAAGGCATTCTCTCCAAATCGAAGCTATGCATGGCCCTGAGTCCTCATTCAGGAAGCTGGTGGCAGTGGGGAGCTCATGTTACAGACACGCTCTCTAGATTGCCAGATCCGGCTAGCTTCAAAATATGCCCAGGTGCTTATTGCTGCATGTTCATTGATGGGGTTGAGAAGAGGGAAAGTGGAAACCAGACCATCTAGGGGAATTCCAGTCCAGGTGTTCCCAGAGACCTAGGCCGTGAATAGGAGAGCAAGGATTGTACAATCGATTCTCCAGAGACCTTCAGCTTAGCAGAGTGTGTTCAATAAAGACTGTTGGTTAGGATAAAGCAGAGAGCTAATCAGCCGAGGGAGATCTCCTTTAAGTGAGAGTTTTCAGAATCTGGTTTTAGCAAGTGTCAGGCTTGGGAAGAGGCAAGATTGACAAGAGCTCAGACCCCTGAATCACTGCTTGTTGCCCGGTTTGACTTAGTAGATAGCACACATAAAAGCCAGTCACTCCCATCTCTTGAGATGTCCGACTTCGTATTAAGACTTCTCTGGTGAGCTCCAGGTGGGGGTTTATCAGAGGGTTGGGGCCCAGGACCCGGGGCTAGAGGTCCTGCCTTGCCTCTGACTATGGCCCATGGTGAGCTCACTTGAGTCTCAATCTCCTTTCCTGGGAACTAGGGGATGGGAGTGAATTACTTGACTAGGTTCTCTCTAAGGCCTCCCCCAGTTGAAATGTTTATCTCCCCTTTAGGAGGCAGAGAGCTTGGGGTATCTGGGAAGCCAGGGAGTGAAAAATATGTCCTGTTCTTGGACACAGGGGCCAATCCAAATGGCGTGTCTTTTTGTCCCTGTTTGTAAGCTGGCCCAGGAAAGCTGCCAGGTGCTTTTGGTGGAGCAGCCAGAAACAGCTCTCCAAAGCCCTCTGACAGAGACTGTGGCAGCAGAAGTGACGAGTGACAGGTCTTTTCTCTGAATGGGCTCAGCCCTCTGTGGACATCTGATCCCACTCCTACCTCACTGTCTGTGTTCAGTGATGGCTAAGAGCACGAGCTCTTTGGGCAGAGAACCAGCTTCCAACCTTAGTGTTGGCAAACCGTGCAACCCTGGACCACTCAGTCCTTGTCTCGTGGATCTGCTTGGAGTCAGGACATAATATCTGTGAAGCAGGAACTACCGTGCCCAGAGCTTGCTCTATGAAGATCAGCTCCAGGAGGGAGACGGTGATGTCATGGCTTCTGTTAGGTAGTAAACTTCTAGGGGGCAGGGTCTTCATCCTGTTTATCTCTGCATCCCGTGCTGGACCCAGATGGTTGGCCCAGACTTGCTCAACACAAACCGATGGATGAATAAGTGAGTAAACACAGTCAGTTCATGGCCATGGGTTTCTGGCACCTGTATCAAGATAGAGATGACTTGTAGAGGAATTACCTCTGCAAAATGCCTTTCTCCAAGAAAAGCTGTTTCGGAAGCTCCATTATGCTTCTAAAACAGGGATCTCCAATCCCTTGGGGCCATGGACTGCTACTGGTCCATGGCCTGTTAGGAACCAGGCTGCACAGCAGGAGGTGAGGGGTAGGTGGGCAAGCAGTGAAGCTTCATCTGAATTTACAGCAGCACCCTATCACTTGCATTACTGCCTGAGCTCTGCCTCCTATCAGATCAACAGAGACATTAGATTCTCATAGGAGCTCAAGCCCAGTTGTGAATAATGCGAACCAGGGATCTAGGTTGCCTGCTCATTATAAGAATCTGCTTATTATAAGAATCCAATGATCTGTCACTGTGTCCATCACCCCAGATGGGACCATCTAGTTGCAGGAAAACAAGCTCAGGGCTCACACGGATTCTACGTTATGATAAGTTGTATAATTATTTCATTGTATGTTACAATGTAACAATGATAGAAATAAAGTGCACAATAAATGTAATGCAGTTGAATCATCCTGAAACCATTGACTCCTCGTAATGGTGACAACCATCACCACCACACCAGTCCATAGAAAAATTGTCTTCCACAAAACTGGTCCCTGTTGCCAAAAATGTTGGCTGCTCTAAAATAAGGCTGACCCTTCCAAAATTCTACTGATCTACCTGGCAACTTCTCAGTTCTTGCAATGCCTCAGTTCTTGCAATGCCCCACTAGACAGTCAGGGGAAAGGATTGTTATGCCCAGACCGTTTATTCCCCGAAGAAGACCACCAGAGTCCAGAGTCAAAGCTAAGCAGCAAGGATCTTTATTACAGGTTCGAACCTGGAACTCTCACTAGCTCGCGAAACGAGACGGGCAGGAGAGCTCCCCCACTGAGCTCCGAGCAGTGTTATATAGTCTAAGAAAAGTGGGCATAGAGTTATTATACAAATCAGATATATGATTGGCTAGTGTTTGAACAAGGCGATTTGGCTAACTATGATTGGTTCCCGCCATTTCTGATATTTTGGTTCAACCTTTGAGGTGGGAGAGCAGGTTTATGGCAGCAAGAGTTTATCTTACTTAAACACGTCTTGTGACCTTGCCTCAGAACTTACAAAATCTCTGGTATGTGCAAAACAAAATCTCTGGTACGTGCAGAAAAACAGGTACTCACAGAACTTACGAAATCTCTGGTATGTGCAAAGATTAGAGAGCAGAACAAAGGGTGTAGCGGGGGCGGGGGGGCGGGTACACATCTATCTTTGTGTCCTTTCAGGATAACAACCTTCCTGGGACATGCCAAGTGGACTCTTGATGCCAATGCTCTGCCATCCCCTGACAAGGAGCTTTTTCCTATGGAAGAGTCTCTAACACCTCTGGAAGTTTCTAAGTCCTGTACAGCAAAGCCAGAACTCAGAATACATCTCTCAGAAGAAATGGAATAAGGAGCTTTCCTATGGGGCCAATGCAGTGACATGAGAAGCTAAGATGTGCTGCTGTGGTGGTGAGTTTTGCAGACTGCTGAGGACCTGAGGCGCCCCCTCCTCCCACACACACTGTGGGCCGTGATTCATCTCTTCTGGAAGCCCAGAACAGGAGGCTCCCCAGGGTTCTTTCACACGGACCCTCTCTGTGAAAGAGAGGCGTGTGCCTTTCCCCATAAGCCCCCACTCATCCTCACCTTCAAGGCCTTTCTATGCATTTCCAGGAGACATTTCGAGGGTTCACGGGGTGCCCTGGCTCCCAGGCTGTGCAGGCTGTCGTGTGGCAGCTCCAGAAGTAATTATGAAGGCAGAATGGGCAGCGGGAGGACCATCAGTCAACTCTGGACAGAGGCGCCTGTCCTGTGACCCACCTAGGGGCCTGTCAGAAATAGAAATAATTTTAATGAAAAGGCACAGTCCTCAGTCCTTCTAATGCTGACCCAGCAAAATGGAGGGGAGATTTTCGTAAGAGGACAGGGCTCTGCTTTTAGCAGCAAAGCAGCCCTGAGAGGTGGGAGTGTAAGAAATTTAGGGGAAAAAAATCCTGGTGTATGTTAACAGTTTCTTTCCCCTTCTGCCTTTCTCTATCTCAAGTGACAGCAGGGATAAGAACAGAGGTGCTTTACATCCTTGGAAGTCAAACAAAGAGGGAGCCATTTGTCAGGAATGGGACCAGTTTGCGACACAAATGGAAAAGCACAGAAATGTCATAGAAGTGTATCTTCCAGCTAGGTGTGGTGGCTTATGCCTTTAATCTCAGCACTTTGGGGAGGCCAAGGTGGGAGGATTGCTTGAACCCAGAACTTTGAGACCGGCCTGGGCAACATAGCAAGACCTTGTCTCAAAAAAAAAAAAAAGAAAAAAAAAGAGCGTATCTTTGGTGCTCTTCTGCTTCCTGTTTTTGCTCCTTCCATCCTTCCGTAGAGCTCAAATTTTCTGTTTCTCCACTTGGCGCCCCTTCCCTTTCCCTGAGCAGCAAAACCCACTGACTGTGAACCTCTTTAGGCCAGGACTTCTCCTTGTTCTGGCCTCCCCAGAACCAAGCACGATGCCTGCCTGGCAGCTGCTGCTTTTACAGTATTTGTTAAAGGAATGAAAACCTCTTCTCAAAGCTCCCGATCACACCTCGATGTAGAGGACTGATAACAGCTGAGAGCTTTGCCTCTTCTCCTGGGACATCAGTATTTTAAAAACAGATCAAAGCGACCTGGAAAAAGTTCAATTACATTCAATGGTAGAGTTCCAGACAGCATTTGATCCTTTCCTTTGAGCAAAGGACCTTCTCCATCCCTAAAACCAAATCACAGAAGCCTGTGGCCTGTCAGGGCCACTGGAAATGGGTGAGTGTAGCCTTTTGCATTTGCAAAGAACAGCTGTCAATTTTAATGCATTCATGGCCTTCTCCTGAAGGGGGAGGGGTGAAAAGCCTACTCTCTGTTCGGTGCTCCCTGAAATCATTCCATTTAAATGCAGATTGGGAGCCTTCCTTCCTCTTAGTGGTCATAGAGAAGACTGAGCAAAGTTGAAATGATAATTTTCCTTAAGAAGAAAGAGAACAGTTTGATTCATTTCCCCATGGCACCCACTGTCATTTCTTTTTACTGTAGCACTCTTCTCTTTCTGTCCCCCCCCAACACCCCTTAGGTGGCCTTTCTCATCCCCAGTCACCCCAGTTTTTGCATCGATAGGCTCCTTTAATTATGCAAATCTTCCAAGCCGTTAGTATCTTCCTAGTTTAAATGGAAAAAATCCAGCCCCAAGTCCTGCGGTTATCTCCTTCCTCCTATTATTTCTCCACCAGATCCGGGCCCTTTTATATTGAACCCGAGGAAAGATGAAAGGCCACATTGCTGGGAAATTAACAGGAGGGGGCCTAGATCATTAAAAAGAAGACCTTTCCCAACTTTTGATTTTCAAGAGACATTTGAAAATCTCTCCGTTCTGAGCAGATGACTAAGGCAAAGACAACCTCTCCCAGAACAAAGCCAGAGCTTGCTCTGGTGGCCTGAGAATCCGGGCCCTTGGGGCTCTGCTCCTGACTCTTTCATGATCTTGTCCTGGAGAAGGAACTGACTGGTTTCTACTGTCTGTTCTCACAACATTTAGGGGCTAGTTGGGTAGTTTGGCCCCAAGTCTGCCAGGAAGTAATGAGCAAATGAGAATTGGGAAGCAAGCCAGGCTCTGGCTGAAATGTCCGTTGACTTGCCTCTTCTACACGAAGCTCACTGAGGGTTACGATGTGAGAACTGGACAGGTGTCCAAGATCAGAGTCAGATTAGAGTCCCTTTTAGATGCATGTCTGCTGCCAAATGCTACCTGTGGGAGGAAGATAGTTCATTTCCTGGGAAATGCTAACAAAGGGCCTGCCCTGAAGCCCCTCCCAAAACAAAGTCCTTCGCCTTTAGATCTCTCTCCTAAGTTGTAAGGCCCCTGACTCCCTCAGGAGGAAAGAGGTCAAGGATCTGAGAATGCACAAAAATAAACCCCTTCACATTCTTATCTTCCTCCATCTCAGTGGTTTCAGAGTCTTGCTTGGGAGCATGACACTGAAAACAGAAATAGCTTCAAGAAGACTTCAGATAAGTTCATGGATAATAGAGCCAAAAATGATCACTAAAAGGGAAGTCAGAAAGATTCAGAGCTCCATCTTTAGACAGATCAGTAGAAAAAATTCCGAAATGTGGGGGGCCAGGATGCTCAGATTCTAGTTCCAGTTTACCCATTGGTTGGTTTTATGATCTTAACAAGCTACTTTGCTTCTCCGGGTCTTAGTTTCTGCATCACTGAAATGAATGGTCTGGTCTATATGACTTTGTGCCTACCCAACACGTATATTCTCAGTCTGAAATGCGTGTGGGTGTGCAAGTGTGTGTGTACACAAAAACAGTGAATTGTTTTCCAATTCTTCCCTCCCCTCAAACAAAACCAAAAACAAAACGAAGGCCTGAGTAACCTGCAGACTGGACAAGGGCTTGCTCTCTGCCTCTGACCTTTCTGCAAACCTCCTCTTTCTTTTCTTCTCCCTTTAGCTGGAAACCCAACCACCAGGTCTGTGAAACAAAAACAGGGGAAGGAAGATGCTCTGAAATGCTTATTCAGACAGTGCCAACAAATCAAAAGAACAGTTGACACAAATGGGGTATCTAGTTACCATAGATCTTATGAAGCTCATTCAAAGAATGTAATGAAAAAAAATCAAATAATGAATCATTCAGGGAGATGCAAAGGATGGCTCCCATTCTTTTGTTCTCCTTCGCATTTCAGAAGAGAAAAATAGAAAGGAAATTAGAGCAAGAAGTTGGGGGATATTTCAGAAAGCAAAAGGGGCAATGATGAGAAGGATACAAAAAAGATCCAAGGTTAGGTAGGAGAAGAGCAGAAACAACGACTAAGTATGTCTAACAAAATAAAACATTGATGAAAATCACACAGGTGAAGAATTTTCTCAGGATGGATCTTTAAAACAATCACGGGAGGGGAAAACAGAGGGAAAGAGACAGTAGCGTGTCGGGTGGAAGGATGAACCAAGGTCAAGCTTTCCTGCTTCGTTGTCTTGCTGAAGGCACAAAGACCTGAGCCCTGGGCTAGAGAAGGATCAGTGTGATTCAACAGGGCACCAGAATGTTCCTAGGACCCTGCTGAAGCCGGGCACTCTACTCTGTGCCACACTCTCAGCTCAGGGCCAGTTCTGCCTCCACAATCCTGAATTGACCTGTGCTGAATGCTTGATTCATCAAACTCCCACTTACCCAGACATCCCTTTTCCAAAGCGCTTTGCCTGACATCTGCAATGCCTTTCTTTTGGCCAACTCTGTTCTGGCATCAGTTTTTGTCTTCACAGCATGCTGTGGTGGAAGCGGTCTGGGGCTTGGATCACACTGATGTGCCCTTGACTCAAACCCCTATTGGCTGTTTGATTTTAGGCAAGGTAGTTTCTTCCTTGATAAAGTAAGGCTGATAATAATATTATCTACCCTGAAGGCTTGCTGTAAGGATTAAGTGAGATCACAAATATGGAAGGATTTAGTACAGAGAGGTACTCAGAAAACCTGGGTGGCCTTCTCTCCCCAAGCCAAATCTAGCTACAGAGATGAGGAAGTAGCAAGAAGCCCTAGGAAGATAAGAAATGTGTCTAAATATGCCGGTATCCAGAGCTCCCCATTCTGGTCACCAGTGTGCTAATGGCTTTCTGTAGGATTTGGATCCATAATCTCTGAGTGTGTCTGATTATGCTTGTGTGATATGAGAAGATTAAAGGCAACTCCCCTCAAGTAGTGGGAGGCTTCTTGATGAAAGTTTTAAAGCTCTGTGAGCCCTCAGGTACATCTGCTGATCATAAAAAAGGAGTTGTTTCCAAGGAGAGTGAAAAGAGCTATCCCAAAGTTGCAGTGATCCCTATCCTCCCGGGAGCCCAGGCATCAGGGGCAAACACCACTGCTCACAGAATGCAGAGCCCAGTCAGCATCCATCCTCCCCTTCCAAAGGCTGTCACTACCTGTTTTCACTCCCTTCATCAGAGGTGACAGGTTGGAGCAGGAGAGTGAGAGAAGCATAGGCAGATATTATAACATTTCTTCCTTTCATCTTTCACCCTTTTCCAGGTGGGAGTCAGTACATTGATAACTTCCAAAGAAGTGTTAGGTTAGAAAGATGTGCCCTGCGTGTATCTCCTGTAGGGATCTCCTGGGTCTGACCTGGGCTAAGAAGCCAGATAAGGAAGCCAAAGAAGGGCAGAAGCCCAGCATTTGTCCTGGGTCTCTTTCCTTCCTCAGTAGAGGAGTCCTTTCCCCTGGGAGGTGGTAGGAAAGAAAAAGTTCGTGTAGAACACAAAACTTAGCAGTGCATTTTATGGGATGTCTTATATTGTTTGCTTTACTTTTGTTCTCTTTTTTGAAGCATGGATTATTTATTGTCCTCAGATAAATTGTAAACATATCAAAACTCATGTTCTATAGTCAGCCTGATTCACTACTACTTGATGATTACTTCTCATGGTGAGAATGTGCTTTTTTATCTTTTCTCTCCTCCTTTCAAAATCTGCATATAACTCGTTTTCCTCCACCGGTAAAACTTCTTCAAATAATTTTGAATGGCTACCATTCCTCCATATTGTTCCATCTCCTTAGCACATCTTTACATTTTTATGCTATAATAATGACTTCTATTAATACATATCATATATGGGTATTATATATATGTATATATGTACGTGTGTGTGTGTGTATATATGTATTCCTTATATGCACTGATACCTCATTGGATTGTATGTGCTTGCCTGCCCATTAAACCATACATAGAGCCATTCCTAGCAGGATATAAGAGGCCTAGGAAATTACCCCATTATTTTTTTTTACGGGTAAAATCTGATTGAACAACAGCGGCTGCCTTCATCAAGGGAGCCTGGAGAGCAAACAGCAGAAAAACAGTCATCTGGCAACATGTTGCAGGAAAAAGACATTGCAAAAGAATAACAAGCTTGAGGTATGCCAGGAGGGACGGGGTTGCTGCCACAGCTTGTAGCCTACTTGCTAGTTGACCCTTCCTCTTCTCTATGAGGAAGTGCCGTGGGAGCCGGAATGTGCCAAACCCTGCCCATTACTCACATTGGCTTTTCTGGGATGGATTTGATAATAAGTTATTTGTGATGAGGGATGGCAGCCACTGGGGCCTGAGTATTACACCAAGTATTACCTGTAGACTGTAAACAGGAAAACGCAACTACTTTTCTGCACAATTTGTAGATTTCTTTGGCTATTTCTAGATTTTTTTTGGCTTATATTTGAAAATAATAGTGAGAATTATTTAGTAAGTAAAAAAGTAAAGCCAGGTGCAGTGGTTCATGCTTGTAATCCCAGCACTTTGGGAGGCTGAGGCAGGCAGATCACGAGGTCAGGAATTCAAGACCACCTTGGCCAACACAGTAAAACCCTTGTCTCTACTAAAAATACAAAAATTAGCCGGGCATGGTGGCAGGAACCTGTAATCCCAGCTACTTGGGAGGCTGAGGCAGGAGAATTGCTTGAACCCGGGAGGTGGAGGTTGCAGTGAGCCGAGATTGCACCACTGCACTCCAACTTGGGCGACAAAGCTAGACTCCGTCTAAAAAAAAAAAAAAAAAAAAAGAAAAAGAAAGAAAGAAAGAAGAAGAATAAAACCTCTGTAATTATGCTTATTTGAGGTGAATTCCAGGTCTTGCTCTTTCTAACCATATGACTTCAATCAAGTTACTTCACTTTTCTGACACTTCAGGCAAAATGGGTTTAAACAATGCCTATTTTGAGGGGTTGTTGAGAGAATTATATATAACCTACAAAAGTGTATAGCACATCCTTGGTGTATAGTAAATGCTCAATGATAACTATTGGTATTAATATTTCCCCACTGTACAATACCCACAGTATCCAGCAATGGTATTGATGACCTGCCATCACGCTAACATATTAATGATAGTAACACATGCAAACATCACTGGCATTAAAACCATGGTCCACCCTGAGTCCTTGTCCTTGCCCTTGCCCTCATTGTGTTGTTGTCCCCCTGATTTCTCTACAGGCTTTCTATGTGCTCCTGCATCCCTCTAGCTACCTTCTGTGAAACTGAACCTCGCCCAGTCTTAAGAGCAAAGACGTGAACCCTGGAACCACTTGAGGAGCCAGAACGAGGGAGCCCCATATCCTTCTTAGACCTTGGTTATTCTCTCCATGACACCTATTCATTCACATATTGTGGGATTTCCCCATTGTCTCTTTCTCATTTAAAAGTCATGTATAACATGAATCAAAATAAGAAAACAGGGACAGTCAATAACAAAGTGTGTGGAGAACAAGGGACATAAGAGAGCACTCTGGTTCTCCAGGCTATCCGACTGGCCATACTGCTTAAGTCCTATCTTGTACCCACTGCAGTGAGTAAATTGGATTGCTGAGCGAGAAAAAAAAAATGGCATATTTTCCTTGTAGTGGAAGAACCTAAAAGGCTCTTTTCCGATTTTCAGATTCAGGTCACACAGTCCAAAACTCTTCTTATCTGCTTTCACTATATATATATTTAACATCTTATGATGAGGTTTGATCTTCTTTAAGGCTTTGATTAAATAGTCTTTGCACTTCCTGATGTGCAAGTTCATCATTTTCTATCAGAAGATGCCTTGATGCCTCACATGGATGTTAGAATGAAAATGTTATTTTCACCCTCAAGCCATAATGGATTTTTCATCATCGACATTATTATTATTATTATTATTTTATTTTTTGACAGAGAGACAGGGGGGAACGCCTCTTCCCGCCCAGCTGGGCCCTGTGGGCTCCCCTCCGCAACCCTAAGGCGGGAGGCCGAGAGCGGCGGGGAGTCGCGCTTCATCTTCGCCCCTCGTTTGACCCATGGACTCATTAATGGAAGAACCGAGGCAAGCAAGTTCACGGGAAGAAATGCGCCCTCCCAACTGGAGGCCATCAGCTGCCCACTCGGGAACATCTCAGGGTGCCAACTGCGTCTCTGCGGGGTCACCAACCATTTCTAGGACATATGTTTGTCCTTGTGGTATTTGGGCTGGAGGACTCCAACAGAGATCAGGTGTGGAGAGCAGTTCCACAGTCTCAAAAAGAAAACCGCGGAAGTCTTGCTCTCATAGAAGTCATGACAGCAGTCCTTTAAAGAAGCTCGTACCTGTCAAATGTGTTTGTGGCATTAACAAAAAAGGATCACAACAGTCTTCTATTGAGGTGTGGCAGTGGGTTATGTTGCACTATTTTCTTCTCTAATTGCTTTACATATGTATATTGCTTTATTTCCCCACCTAAGAGTGTTAGATCCTCAAGAAGAAAAACTGTATCTCCCATTTTCCCAGTATGTCATTTCCACTCAGAACAATTTGATGCACACAGTTGGAATTTAATCCATATTTGCCAGTGAGATCTTAGAGTATCAAGGAAAACGATTCCTTCAGTTCTGTGACTTTCTCCGAGGTTTGCATGGATACACTTCCGTTGTTGACATTCGATGCATGTGAAATAGGCATCAGAGCTTTTTACCTGCCTCACCGGGGACTGGGAGGCTGCATGAGCTAATGTCTAGGAAGAACTCAGCGCAGTTAACACACGCACACACACATACACACACCCACACACGCATGGCGGGAGGCTTATTCTCACCTCTCAGGCTTGCTAAAGTGGAAGTTTAACAAACTCCTGGCACTTTCTCCCGGAAATTGTGTGAGAATGTGCTCCGGGCCCTTCCTTCAGTTTTTGGTTCCCTATTCTATTGTCCAAAGTTGGAAAGTAGGGGTCAGAAATAATGAAGAGAAGGTTAACCAGAGTTCATTGTATCTCAGATAATTAAGAGACCCAAGTACAAGGAATTATTCATCTCTCTGGTCTCCATCAAATGCCGGGCTATATGTTTTGCTGTAAGCCTTCCACTATAATTGGCTAAGCAGGGATAGCTCTGTTCTTAACCTGCAACAACTGCCCCCAAAACAGAGGCTGATTCAACTGTGGTAATGGGAGGAAGCTAATGGCCAGGCAAGTCTACTCCTCTGACAGCCATGGACTCTCTGGACATATGTCTTGAGGCCTGAACCTTATCTCTGATGTTCAAACACAGGCTCACATTTGGGTGAGGCACTGAAACCTCGCAGCTTGATTTTCCAAACCGTGAGCGTGTACGATCAATGATGGGGTCACGGGGAGACACATACCTGATTGATCCATCAGGCTACTCGTTTTTCCAGATGTTTTCTGACTTGGATTTCAGACCTGACTTGGCATTTGAAGAAGGTCGAGAGCATAGGTTTGCCAACTCATGTGCTTTTAAAGCACATATCATTCAGCATAATGACAGCCCCTGAGATAGTTCAATTCACCTCCAGTGTGTGTGCGTGCACGCATGTGCACGTGATTGATTGATTGCTGGTTTTGAAGCTATACAATACTATGGCCTTTTATCCTGGCCTACGTTTCATAGCACATTCCAGCTGTTCAGAGCCACAAGTTGAAAAGATGTGCTGATTGAAATGCTGACTGTACACTAGACATGCAGTCAGCCCCGTACAATTAACAAAAAAAAGGGCCCCTCCCTGCTTTTCCCACTGTTCTTATTTTTCCCAAAACTATTTCTTTCCTTCCACAGAAAAGGGGAATGTGCAGAGAAGCAATTAGTTATAATTATACATGTGCTGGAGTATAGGAAAACCAGTCAAAAAGAATTTTCAAGTCCCAAAATTGTCTAATAAAAACTACCCAACAACATCATAATTTTTGGAGGAAGTTAAATTTTTATGGAGTTTGGTGATAAGAAAAATTTGCTAAAAGAGAGTGCTCTTAATCATTACACTGTCACTTTGCAAAGTAATTGTGGAATTAGGAATAATTACACTCTAAAGAAGGAAAATGAAACAATCTGCCTTATGATCTTTTAAAATAGAATTATGATTTGGGCTTTCTCCATAAATCGAAAAGAAGAAAGGCATGAACTTGTGGGTGAGGTAATAACCTGGGGTCTTGGAAACCTAGGTTTAAAGCTTTAAGTAGTCAATGCTGGGACTTTACCTACTCAGCAATGGGTAGCTATACTTGAGATAATAGGTGGGATTTTATGTGCAGCAATGTAGAGGACGCAGGGGCCCGGGATGGGCTGCCAGGTCTTCCAGCAAGTGCTAAGGCATCCACCAAGGATCATGAATGTGAACAGGATAATGAATCACTGTCTACTTCCTCTTTTGGAAAAACTGTCATATCTCTGCCAACTGAATCACACTATAACCAGTCCCAGGCAATTCAAGATGACAAGTTCCACTTCGAACAGCGTTGGGAGTCATTCTGAGGGTCCCCATGTATAGACATAAAAAGTTCCATTTGTTCTTACACTGTGAAAATGACAGAACAAATATTATGGGGATTACGCCTGGGGAAAAAGAAATCTATCTCTAGATATTCCTGCCACCATGGAGAGAAAATCAGCAAAATTTAGAATCTTGGATCTGTTCCACTCACACTAGGATGTTGTTTCTAGAAATCTCCCGAAAGTATGGTACTGACTCTTGGTGGTAAAAGTGGAGAGGCTTAGAACTGAAATCTGGTCAGTAGAAGACTGAGGGTTAAAAGTGGACGGTCAACCCATTGAATGAAGGCCTAGCAGGAAACAGAGAGACAAAAATATAGGCATTAACGGAATAATAGCTGAATAGTAATAATAATACATTATGTCAACAGCGGTGACAAAGGAAACACTCAATGTATTTATAGAGCTAAATAAACGACAGATCTAGGTCCCTCGTTTTGACTCTGCACAACCTTCTCAGTTGGATTTTGCTTCTGCCTAAGGATTATTTTGGAAAGAGCTATTATTATCCATGATTTATCACGCTGCACTGGGGGGAACTCGTACTTTCCACGGAGACAATTATTGAATTCTTACTGGAGGCTCTTAAAGGAGCCAGGACCTGTTCTGAGGGTTCAGGTGGGAAAGGTGTGCCAGCAGGGGGCTGCAGCCTGGCACCGTGGGACACATGTGCTGTTGACCACTTCTGTGCCCAGATGCCTCAGATACTTTCTCATTAGGTGCACCCTTTAATCTCCTGGTTACTATAACAGGACTGGGGAGAGGAATTCACATCTATGGTTAGTCCATGCAAGAAGTTCCTCTGCCAGGTGCCCATCACTCCCAAGGAGTCACTGGTTGCAGCCTGTTCCAAGGCGTCATTGAAATAGAAACCAAGTCAAAGCCATGGCCTAGAAAGACAGTGTGGGCAGAGTTCTGCAAGCAGATTCTTTATTTGAGTAAGTATTCCTTGAAGAAGCCCAATTGTGCAGCTGTGTTTGGGTGGAGGTCATCAGAGGTTTAGAAAAAGAGAGAAGTCATGGTTAATATTAGAAAAGAGCTCTGAGAATCTGTAGGAAGGAAAATGCATTACTAGTTCTAAGCAACAACTGCGAAAATAAACAATGATAAACACCTTATTAAATCGAAAGAGTTACGTTAATAGATAATAACAAGTAGGAGAGCTAATAGCTAGCCATTAATACAGGCCAATTTATTATTTAAAACATTTATTAAGATTTAACAATAGTCAAATAATTTTTTGTGAAACAGTTATTAAACTGAAGCTCTGCATACATTAATCAACTGATATTTATCATTCAGAATGTATCTCATTATATCCAGAAGGGTGTGTGCATATGCTTCCAAAACAAACTGGGAGATTTAAAATGAACTGTAGTTCATTTTTGCAAAGTGTACATGTGTAAAGATTATTATGTTTGCCAGCTGGGTAGCCAGACAGCGAAGTGGACTTGTCTAATTAGGAACAATTGCTGATAAATCAATTCTTTCCTTTTATAGGACAATTACAATTTGTGTGTATATGTGATTGTGTTTTAAATTCTAATTTGATTTTGTGCATTGTTCTGCAACCAAGTTAATTCTTTGAAGTCCTTTTAAATGGTACAAATTTTCCGTAAAATATAAATAGGTTTATTACTGTTTTATCAGTCACGCAAATAATCCAAGATCCATCTATTCACATAATTCAGGCATTAACTGTGTATAATTACTCACACGAAGCCTTCAATCTGGCTTACTATACAGAACCCCAAATACGACTTTAAATTGCTTGCCTACTATTTTCCTCTGTTATTTCTCTCCTTCTCTTTTCATCTTTGCCTATTAAAATTCATCCTAGTCTTTAAGCACAGCTCAAAGATCACTTCCTTGGTTTCTCTCATTTAGAAGGGATCTTTCTAGCACTTGCCTCTCCACTTTTATCTCTCATTGCATCTAGCATAGTGCTCTGCATTGGGACATTAAAACGATAATTTTTATTATTTTGTATTTATTTAGTTTTTTATTTTTTGAGACGGAGTCTTGCTCTGTCGCCCAGGCTAGAGTGCAGTGGCGTGATCTCAGCTCACTGCAACCTCCGCCTCCCAGGTTCAAGCAATTCGCCTGCCTCAGACTCCCGAGTAGCTGGGACTACAGGTGCACACCATCACGCCCAGGTAATTTTTGTATTTTTAGTAGAGACAGAGTCTCACCATGTTGGCCAGGATGGTCTTGAAATCCTGACCTCAAGTGATCCAAAGTGCTGGGATTATAGGCGTGAGCCACCACACCCAGCTACTATATATATATATATATATATACACACACACACACACATATTGAATAAATGAGTTTCCTGAGGACAGAAGTGCCTAGTCACCCTGTTCTGGCTGACACAACTCCTGGAATAGACACATGGAAAGAAGATGGACACTGAAGGAAACTCAAATCCACATGAGGCCAAATGAATTCAGGGGAGTGCAATTTACTTACAAGGAGAGGGAGGATGTACAGCCCATCCTAGAATAACATAGGTTCTTTCAATATCATTTTGTTATAGTGTTGAAATCCATCCTGTGTGGAGTTGGCATGTTCTCCCCATGTCTGCAAGGGTTTTCTCTGGGTACTTCGACTTCCTCTCAAATCCCAGAGATGTGCCTGATAGCCTCACTGGTGTGTCTATGTGGTCTCAGCATGTGTGTGTGTGTGTGTGTGTGTGTGTGTATGTGTAAGTGCACACCCTGCCATGGGACAACATTCTGTCTGGGGCTGGCTCCCACCTGGTGCCTTGGACTGGATGGACTGAACTAGGTGGGTTGGGAAATGAATGAATGAATGAATGAATGAATACAATGATTATACAATAAAAATTTATAAAGTCTATGATAGTAATACAAATACATGACAATAAAACGATGCTGTATAAAAGTGTTCAGCGAGCTCACCATGTTTCTGATCTTTTTTGAACTGCATGATGGTAGGAGGTTCTCTGACAATTTCCCCTTTGCAAACATTTATTTATTCCTGGATTTAACTCACCACCACTATGACTGCCGACTCACTGGTTCACCAAAAGGTGGGTAAATACGTATCTTACTTGTTTGTACTAATCTTTCTGAAATGCATAGATCACATGTATTTCAATGTTTACTATTAGAAGTGTTTTGGGTCTTTCTTTAGAAGTTCAGTGACGTTTTTGTGACTAGAAATATGCTGTAGGAACTTTGCTCTTGTTTATATCAATTGGCCTACAGTAAAATTGGTTTTGTTAGATGGTGTTTTGCCTAAAGTTGTAGTTTCTGAGAACTTATCGACAAAGTTAAGTGAGGAATTGCTGTAGTAGTCATCATCTTTCTTCCCAAAGTCTGTGATTTGATTGGCCATAATTGCCTGGGGGAAGTATTTTTACTTTTTGGTTTGCAAATCTTAATCTTCAACAATTAAGCAGGAAAACATCTGCCACCCACAGTATGGGGCAGCAAGGTTTCCATCTGGTGGATGAAGTACGAGGCCTCTCTGTTCACGCATACTCAGCAGAGGCAGCAGTGGGTGACAACCTCTGGGCTGTGCAGTCCGGGTCAGGAGACCTGAGAGAGCCTGCTGCCCCTCTGAACAATTGCACTCACACACCACACGCTGTACCTTGTCCAATTAGTCTGCAAGGGAGCAGAGACCCGGGGCTTGCATTGTTCTAACGGCCTGTTTGTGTACGGTGTGGGGAGCAGTTTTAAATATGGTTTCACTGTTGCAGAACCTTGAATTCTAAGTGACCGATGTTTCGGTGCTCCTCACAGGTCCGAACAGCCGAAGGTGTTAAGAAAGAGAAATGCGTATTGAATTTCAGCTCTACCTTCTGGTCAATTTTACCTATAAATCACCTTTTGGGGATCAGAGGAGTCTGTCATCATCTGATCAGACAGTGTCACTGGCTCTTTCAGTGAAGTCTTCTATTGTAAGAATTTAAATGCCTATCCATGAGTAACTTGATCAAATTCCCTTAGTTGACATCACACTGGCAGAGAATAACATATGTTGGGTTCAACCTCCTAAACTTGGTAAGTACAACTTGATCACTTACAACTATAAGAAGATGTCATCAATAGGATAAAACGTACAGAAGATTTCAAATCACTGAAGATTTTATCTCTAAAATATTTCTCTCTGAAATGTTTTGGTCCCCATTATGTAGCTGTCACCACTTTGGTTCAGGACAGATGACTTCTTGCTGAGGTTAAGATAATCTTTGCTTGGTTTCTTCACTTCTTAATTTTCCCCAGTCCAATCTAGTCTTTCCATTTTGTCAGAATTTTCTTCCTGAAGTTCTGATCAGCTCTCCCAGTTACTTCCAATGACTCTGCTGTGGGTTTCATGCTGTTACACACCATGGCTCACTCTTTCTCTCAGACTTTATCTCCCCCATATTGACTGCAAGTATTTTATGAGTTAGTCTGATGGAGCCAACCCACTGTTCCACACTCTTGGCCTCGTGCCTCTCCCGGTCTGTGTTAGCCTTGCTACAAGGCATTCTCATGCCTGGGTATCAATAGCACAACATTTGATCCATCTGTTAAGGCCCATCTCAAACCATGTCTCCCCCGACACCTTTCCAGAATCTTACTAACTAGGATATTTGCTGTTTCTACTGAGCTCTTATTACATACCGAACTTCACTCAATCTGTCCTAGAGTCATTTGTGTATTTATTTTAGTTATGTACTCCATTGTTTCCCGAAGTGTTTTCCTGGAACCCTAGACCTATGAGATACGATGTTAGAAGAGTTCAAAACTTAAACAAGGCCGGGCGATGTGGCTCAAGCCTGTAATTCCACCACTTTGGGAGGCCGAGGCGGGCGGATCACGAAGCCAAGAGATCAGGACCATCCTGGCCAACATGGTGAAACCCTGTCTCTCCTAAAAATATAAAAATTAACTGGGGGTGGTGGCACGCGCCTGTAATCCCAGTTACTAGGGAGGCTGAGGTACGAGAATCACTTAAACCCAGGAAGCGGAGGTTGCAGTGAGCAGAGATCGTGCCACTGCACTCCAGCCTGGCGACAGAGTGAGACTCCATCTCAAAAAAACAAACAAACAAAAACAACAAAAGAAACTTAAACAAATTTGCAAAGTGCTGTAGTCATTTTTCTCTTCTTAGAGCTTTGCAAGGCATATCAGCATGGCAATGGTTATGAGAGGCTGGGTAGTGAAAAAACCTGTATACTTGTGTTTAATCTGAAGCTTCTGAAATTTAATTTGTTCACAAAATACCTGTTTAATGTAACATCTCTTAACTAGTATTCCACGGAAAGAACTCATTCTGGGAAATCTTTTCTAGTGTATTATAAAGTCTTTGAGAGTAGGGAATCTCTTTTATCTTTGACTGTCCCATAGTGTCTAGCAAAGTTCTTGTATGTAATAAGTGCTCACCGAATATAAGCTGAAATAAGTTTTATTGGCACCATGAACCATTTGGGCTCCCTAGGAATATAATTTATTATTCTGATTTTATAATTTGTTTTTTTGTGTGTCAACATGGGCAAGACATTTTTTGTTTCTTTTCTTAATTCCATGGTATATTATTCTATTTATAAGATAGTCATGAGGTTATAATAACTATGATGTACTGATAAAAGACATGAGAAGGGTTGGGGGCAAAGGAGTAATAATGTAAGGTGCTAAGTAAAATATCATATGGTATGTCGCATTTCTCTGAGATGATCTTATTTTTGTCTTGTCTAGTTTAGTGATGATTGCAGATGCTCTTGTTTATAGACAATTATATATATCTGTGCCAGATACCACATTGAGCATTTTACACATATTATCTCATTTTGTCTTTGTAAAACCCCCAAGAAGTAAGCGTTCTCATTCTTATTTTTTAAAATAAGGAAACTGAGACTTCAGTAACAAGGCACAGGGTTCCAGACTTGGTAAGCAGTAAGGCTGTTTCACACCGGAGCCCACTTTCTTCACCATCGTGCTAGGCTCACTCACGGGGCTGAACTTGGGACCTCGTGGGCATCTCTCTCCCCATTCTTCACTGTCTCTGCTCAGTTGGACCATATTTCCCACCTGCTTACTAACGACAGTCTGTCGCTATGGGCAGCCTTCAGCGTTAAACTGTTTAGGTAACTGAAGCTCCTCTTCTCATTCCATTCCTTGACTACTTGGTGAGGTTGTGGGGAAGGCAGAGGAAACAGATCTGGAGCAGAAGCCTGTGCAATGCACTGAAGGTTTGTGTTTCTCCAGATTCATGTGCTGAAACTTAACCCTCAATTGAATGGCATTTGGAGGTGGGGTCTTTGGGAAGATTCGGGAAGCTCTGCACTCATGAATGAGATTAGTGCCCTGATAAAACAGGCTCAAAGGAACTCATTCTACATGTGAGGACCCAGCGAGAAGGCACCAGCTGTGACAGTAAGTGAGACCTCACCAGATACCAAATCTGCCAGTGCTTCATTCTTTGCCTTGCAACCTCCAGAAGTGTGAGAACTAAATTTCTGTTGTTTATAAGCCACCCAGTCTAGGGGACTTTGTTATATCAGCCTGAATAAATGAAGGGAGCCTATATCCTGGGCTTTTGCTATTTAAACATAGTTGAAATATAAACCCTACCCCGACAAACAGTCTGAAATATTTAGATTTACACACCAGGTAGATTCAGTGTGTAATGGATGTGATGTCTAAAATTTATACAGTTTGGGGGACTCTTTTTAAAAATGCAAAATTACCAACATAAAGTCCGTTATGGAGCATAGGAATAGATTCTTGCGAGACGCACTGAAGTTCACTCAAGTTCAAGATTTAGTAACTTCTGGTTATAGTCCCACCGTCTACCCCAAAGGTAGAGTCCTACACCAGGGACTCTGCAAGTTTTGAAAAGTAGAAGACACTTTCCTTGTCCATAGTGAATTTAGCATTCTTATGCAAACATGGTTTGAGAAGAGTTACAAAGTAAATTGTCAGTGAGTGGCCATCGACTCAGTGCCCTGAAGAGATGCTGAGTG